AGCCTTGGTATTCTTAGGTGAAAGACTGGAAGATGTAAGAAATATCCTTTTTCTTTGATGATGGTGTGAAATTCTTTCTAATTGGAAAGATCTTTCTGTCATAGAGTATGAAGGCTCCCACATTGGGAGAATTTCTACTGCTAAGGCACTGTGGGATTTTCCTCTCCCTTTGGAGGAGAAGGCTCTATGAGTAGATATTATGATACTTTTTCACCCGCTTCTTTGACAAATCTTAAGTGAATTTGGTGTCGTGATGCAGTGCTGCTCATTTCATTGCCCAGTGGTGCCAGAGCAGAGACCTCCAGTTACACAATACGCACAGCATTAATCTCTCTGCAGAATGGTGGGCTTGTGCACGTTTGCTAGAGCCTGATTTGTCATTCAGTATATATACCAGCATGTCAGCTAGGTAACTAATGATATCATCAAGATTACAGATTGAAAAGCTTTACTTCATAGCTAATGCCTGTCAGGCTGAATTGCTCAGGCCACGCAAAAACTGTTGGGGAGGAAAAAAATTGAGCCAAGAAAAATGAAAAACAGAGGGAGCTGGAGACAGTTATGTGTCTTGTGCAAAACCCTCGTGCCTTCGATCTTTGGGGAGAGCAGATGAGAGGTTGATGGGTTGCTTCTATGTTTTTCTGGAGTTTTTCTTAAAAACTCAGATTAGTTTTCAGCAAACTCTGCCGCCAAAGACTGCTTGATGTCTGCGGGGAGGTTGGCTTGGGGCAGCTCTGGCAGTCCAAGGGTGGCCATTGAGGGTCTGCAGTGTTCGAAAGAGCACTGTCTGCTTTTTCTGCTTCTGTCTCCCCTTTACTCCTGCCTGAAGCTCTCGGACAAATGAAAGATGAGAGGCTGGGATACCCCATTCCCCTGAAATGCCGCCTTCCAGTTCCCTCTGAACTGCTGCGAGGTCATCTCAGTAAATTTTGTCTTTAAATTATATTCTGAACGTTTAGGAGAATGTCTAGATGGGTGTTTTCAGAGTCTGACTACAAAGGATATTTCATAAAGTTAATGTGTGTAATTTTGGTGCTGCCTGGCTTGGAAGCTGGCAGAGCACTAGGAGAATGTCTAGATGGGTGTTTTCAGAGTCCAACTACAAAGGATATTTCATGAAGTTAATGTGTGTAATTTTGGTGCTGCCCGGCTCGGAAGCTGGCAGAGCACTCCTCGTTTGGCTCGTTTGGCTTTATCAACACAAAAACCTTTTTAATCTTAGTCAGTGACTCACCCTGAGGCAATACCAGATCTTGTGGTGGAAACCAAGTGAGTTACACTGAGGGAAGCCCAGAGGAAGCTTTTTTTCAGCTGTGCGCAGAGAAGAGGCAGGACCCAAGATTTTCTGTTGCAGGAAGTTGAGCAAGCTTTTGGAGGACGGGATTTCACAGCACTGCTGCTGTTGGTGGGTAAAGGGAGGCAAGGAGAAAACAAATCAAGAGCTGACAGGTCTTTCAGGTGAAATCAAGAGCTCAGGAGGGGTTGCCTGGTGAAACTCATCAGGAATTTTTTGCTTGTGGTGGGAGTGACTCTGCTCCTCTGCATATCTCAGATTATGGTACCAGAGATTCCCTTCATAACCCAGGCTCACACTCTCTGTGCCAGCTCGCAGCTCTGCAGCACTCATGACTGCAGCAGCTGCTCCTGCCTTTTATGCTGGATTTGAGGCCAAACAAAACATGTCCATGGCTGAGGAAGGTGTAAGGATGCTTGTGTGGAGAGATGTTGTATTTGTGAGAAGGTAGAAGAGAGCACGTCAGTGAGATAGATCAGATCAAAATAATGAACCGAGAAAGTTTGTCTGTGTCCAGAGCATTCTAAGAGAAACAAAATAATGTCTCCCCTCACCCAAATTGTATGACCCTGTTGTTCAAACAGAACAAAAAAGAGAGAGCGTTTTAGAACTTAAAAATAAATGTCATGTGGAAAGTAGAGACTCTTCCAGTCTGAAATGCATTTAACCAGAATGATTGGTTTTATTAGCCTAATTCTAGGCAATGGTAATCAATTTTCCTTACTTAAGACAGTATTAGCATTCATTTTGCTTAATAGGGAATAGCTAATCACAGGCAGGTAGTGCTTCGTCAGGTATTAAATGTAAGTAAAAATGAAATCTCTGGACTTTTAGTGAGGAAGCTGCCAAATCGGGGTTAATTAGGAGAAGACTGAAAACAATGAACACTTCGATTCTTCTTCTTTTTCTTCTCCCTATGGTATTCTTGTGTTTTAATTGTTTGCAGAAGGTTCAGAAAGGCCTCTGAAAAGGGACATGCTCCTTGAGCACTGCATGAGCAGACATGCACATAGAGGGAGGTCCATGTGTTATGTCTTGCCTTTACATCCTCCTCACTCACAGACATCTGATCTCCTGTGGAGAGGCCACCACCTCTCTCTTGCCCCGCTGCAGGATTTTACAGAGTGCACGAGTTTGAGTTTCAGCTCTTTCAATTCACCTTGGCATATACAGACAGAGCTATAAGAGAGACAGTGGAATACAAAACCCCAGGTAAATGGACCAAGGTCTGCTTCTCCTGCCTCACCTCTCTGAGCATACAGTCATGGTTAGAGATGGCCTGCTGGGCTATAGATCAACTTCACTGTGACAAGAGAGAGCAGTTCTTATAGATATAATGTGTTGTACCCTGGAATGAGGAGGAGCTGATAAATTATGCTTAGAGATTTCTTGCAGTTACATAAGGGTTTAATAATTGAAATGGAGCATTTTCTTTCTGTGCACCTTAGATGTAGCATTCCTATTGCGTATCACAGAATCACAGAACGTTAGGGATTGGAAGGGACCTCCAAAGCTCATCCAGTCCAATCCCCCTGCCGGAGCAGGAACACCCAGATGAGGTTACACAGGAAGGCGTCCAGGCGGGTTTTGAATGTCTGCAGAGAAGGAGACTCCACAACCTCTCTGGGCAGCCTGGGCCAGGGCTCTGTCACCCTCACTGAGAAGAAGTTTCTTCTCCAATTGAAGTGGAACCTCCTGTGTTCCAGTTTGTGTCCGTTACCCCTTGTCCTATCATTGTTTGTCACCGAGAAGAGCCTGGCTCCATCCTCGTGACACTCACCCTTTAAATATTTATAACCATGAATGAGGTCTCCCCTCAGTCTCCTCTTCTGCAAACTAAAGAGACCCAGCTCCCTCAGCTGCTCCATCATCGTGTATCTTGCAGTTCGCATTTTAACTGATGCTTTGCAAGGTGATCTCTGGCTTATGGTTATGGCAACTCAGCCGTGAGGGCTGGCACCAACTATGGATGGATTTTGAGAGAGGCTGGATAACCTGCTTGAAGTCTGGTCCTTTTCTCCAAGGCACGTGGGAATGTTGCCAGTGACTTCAGGAGGAGCTTGCAGATCCTCAGTACTTGAACAAAGGGTGGACATCCTAGGCTACGTCCAGTGCTCCTAGGATGTATTTCCTATGGCAAAATCACTACCTAGACCTCAGATTTGCTCATGTTATTTTTTTCCCATCATACTCTACAGCAACTAGACAGCAAGTCAGACTTGCATAATGTTGTAAGAGCTCTGTTAATTTAATTTACTTTTTCTTCCAATATATTTGAGCCAAGCTGTCAGAATTTTCCATAAGGCAATTAGTTTGCTGGTATCGCTGTTTCTCCCCGGAGGTCTCTATCTATCACAATGGTCCTGTTAAGTCAGGAATAGAAAAAGAGGTTACTTTGCATTCCTTGTGGTTATCAGTCAACAACTTGATTTGATATCTACCAGATGTTCTGTCTTGTCTCTTGCTGCATGTCTCAGCCCTGGACCCCTGCTCTGCCTACATCAGCCTGAATGAGCCCTGGAGGAACACAGATCATCAGATAAACGGTTCCCACGGCCAGCCGACGTGCGACAGCCAAATCGACGGGGAGTGGTATCGCTTCACCGGCATGGCTGGCGATGCTATGCCTACCTTCTGCATCCCAGAGAACCACTGTGGCACCCACGCTCCCATTTGGCTGAATGGCAGCCACCCACGGGAGTCAGATGGCATTGTCCAACGCCAAGCCTGTGCCAGCTTCAATGGCAACTGCTGCCTTTGGAACACCACGATTGACATCAAGGCGTGTTCAGGCGGGTACTACGTGTATCACTTGACCAAGCCCAGCGTTTGCTTCCACGCGTACTGTGGGCGTAAGTAACTGCTGAGGTCGCTTTTCTGAAACCCCTTTGTCCCCGTGATGCAGGGAGAGGTACAGAGCATCCATGTGCCTGAGAGAGGAGGTTCCTGGCTTTCTCACCCAGACGTGTCAGGCGATGCAGTGCAGAGGGTGCCTGTCTATGTGACATCAATGAGACAGCTTCACCTCCGTGAATTCCAGCCTTTGTTCAGCTAGCAGAAATCTTCCATAGCTGACCTGGCCGCAGTGATTTAATGCTCTCTGTGGTTTGTCTTGGCATGCTACCAAAGCCAAAATTTGCATCTCTGACTTACAGTAATTAAACTAGATTGTTTGTCATCAGCTTCAGTGGTTCAGCTTTCTGAATGTGGTCTCCAACGGATGGACTAGACCACTAGTCTGAAGCTGATGGTACAAATACAGTGTTCTTGCTGCATTCTCGGTGATTTGTGCTGACAACATCCTTGTCGTGCCCTAGATTTTTATGACATCTGTGATGTGGTGGATTGCCAGGACTCCTGCCTCGACACCGGTGACTGCCTGTGTTCCCTGGGGACAACACTAGGACCTGATGGACAGACATGTCTTGGTAAGGGTGGGAATAACTTGTGTCACTTACGGATGCTTTCTTTCCCATTTGTTTCATTGCTTGCATCTCAATCCATTCTCTTACAAAACCGTATAACAAAGGGCAAGTATTCTAAGAGGAGGTTTTCCCCTTTGCTGCCTGGAACAGGTCTTTGATTCTGTGAACGGTTCCAGATCTCTCACCACAGGGTGAGATATGACAACCCATGACTGAATACATTCGTGTGCCCCTGGAGCTATGCGCGTACAGAGATTTGCTTTCTGCATGGTCCAGCTGCTGAAGGCAGCAGCTTCACTGTCAGCAGCAGAATCTCTTTGCAAGATCATGGCACAGCCTCATCGGCTTTCAGGAATGGCTGTGCAGTCTGTCACTAGAGATTTCCTCTCACCTGCTCTCTTGAATGCCTTTTTCCTCCAGTAAAAGTTTTGCTGGCTGCTGCAGGGCTATGCATTAAGCTTCATCGTACTTAGAGAGCATCTGGGCTGCAAGGTCTTGGGACAAGATGGTCTGTGGGGCAATGCAAGGGGCTGGGAAGGGGTGTCTGCTGGGGAGCTGCAAAGCTGCACTAATGGATAGGAAGAGGTGGTGTGAAGGGAGGAATGGGTGCCTGTTTGCAGAGCTTTTAATCAGAACTGAGCTTTTAATCCCATCTTCAGTACAGTGTCTGAGCAGATTATGGCTGTGGTGGCCTGTGTGGCTCCAGTGCCCAGGTTAGGTCTCTCCATGGTGAGCTGACGTTTCTGTTCTGCGAGAGCACCTGAGCTTTCTGGGACAGAGCTGGAACAAGAAGCCAAAATGATGAAATTTCTCATGACATAACTTTCCTTGGGGAAGCTTCATTAAAATGTTTTGGGTTTATTTCAGTTTTGTTTATGTATTTCCAGCTGTTTTTCATTCTTGCGTCTTCATTTTGAAATAAGGATTGAATCATTTAAAGCTGCTGTAGGATAGTTGGCCATGTGCAGCAGTAGCAGGGTTTGGGGTTTTTTTCAGTGATTCTGGTATTCACCTAGTTTTACCATGCAGTGAAGTCATCTTAACTTAATTTTAATGTCTTTGTGAGTGGAGTGGGGAGTAGTTTAGGATGAGAAGATAAATGAAACATGAACTCCTTCAGCATGTGAAACTGGCTTATAAATTTCCCATGGGAGTGCATTTATCTTCACTCTGAAATGGCTGCTGTGTGTCCAATGTCTTTCCCCCCAGATCTGCTTTCATCCTACGTTAGTCACAGCATGGCAAAACACTCTGCTACTGTCAGTAGACTGTGGTCTTCAGTGGGATTCCTCATCTCTTGCCCCGATCCAATTCATGAGGCCGGGAAAGCCAGACCGCAGTCTGACCAGCACTCCCACGTAGCAGCCCCTTTTTGCCAGCCACATGTTTACCAGGGGACGTGTTCTGACGGTTTGTTTCTTGCAGATGAAAATGAATGTGAGCAGAACAACGGAGGCTGCAGCGAATTTTGTGTTAACCTGAAGAACTCCTACCGCTGCGAGTGCGGGATTGGGCGCACTCTGGGAAGTGACGGGAAAACCTGTGAAGGTGAGCTTTCAGCTATCACAGTCTACTGGAAACAATATAAATCACTGCCCTTCCCTTGCAGCACTCGTTCTTCCTTGGCTCCTTGCAGCTGGGATTAAATGTCACTGATATCACTTCTGTGCTTGCCAGTGAGGTTGTTACTGAAATATCCTTCTAATCAAGCAGAGAGGAATCTCCTTCTTGTTGCTCTCCTTGCCTTGTTCATGTCTGTTAGGATTTGCTTGTCTGTATCTCCATGGAGGGAGAGTCAGCAGTGGGTCTGGAAGGTTGGTTGTCCAGACAGAACTAGTTATTGCTGGAGATGCTAGGATTTGGCTCTGGAGATTTGTATGATAGTTGTGCGAGGGCAGATTTAGCACTGTTGTTTTTTGACAGCTAGCACTAAGTATGGGGTAATGTTGTGACATTAGATAAGAGTATAAGGATCGCTTAGCCTCCCAGGATAGAGATTGAGGAGGACTAAATAGAAGCTAGATTTGAGGTTAGGGCTGCACTTTCACTGTTTGCTTTTTGTAAGTAGTTTTGGGCTCTGCTGTGTGCAGCTGCTACAGTTACTTTCCAGTGGAGGCACAGCCAGGTTGAAAACCTTTGACGAGTTTAGACTGGTAGCTTAGCAGGTGCTTAAAGACCAAATTGTAGGTCTGATCTGTTGTTACTCACCATGTACAAACATCTTTGAGCAGCAAAAACCCAGCAAAATTTAACTTATGCCTGATGTTTTCTGTGGTCAGCTGTGAAGAGCAGTGGCCCTTCACAGGCAGAGCTGCTGTCATGCGTGTTCACAGATACTGTGGGGCCTCAGTCAGGAATAACAGCTACAGATGTGCCTTGCTCTTGAGCTACCTGCTTCCCAGAACTGAATGCGTCTGCAGCCTGCACACAACTTTACATTAGCTGCTGTGTGGCAGACATCCATGGTGCAGGAAGAGAGGGGTTGCCATTGTGGTTTTGGGCTGGACTTCACCCTTTATGGACAGATGGCTCCAAGCTGCAGTTTTTGTCTCTGTTTTCCCCCTCTATGATACCAAAGCACATTTCATCTCACTTCTGTGAAAATCTTCTCTCTGAGCTCTGTTAATAAAACATCACTCATCCAGATAATGATACCTCCCTGGGGAAAGCTGCTGTGCAGAGTGCTCCTTAAGTACTTGTTGTGTTGGGCCCAAAAGTGATGTGTGGGCTTTATCCCTTCCACATCCAGCACTGAGCTGATGGGGCTGTCATGTAAACCAGCTGTGCTATGGTGTGGTTTTTGTTCCTGAGCACTGCACTCTTCTGACAGGGCTGGAATAGTCTGTGCTTGGAAACTGGTTTGTCTCTGCTCTTCCCGAAGTTGGATTTTTGGGCCTTTGATAGAACATTTCATTTCCCCTTCTCTAAGAAGGATGGTGCTTTTCACAAGTGTGACATTGCTGCTAGGGATTTTTACAATCCTGTTAGTGAGTTCTTTTCCTAAAGATGTGCCCTCAGCTTTGTGAGCCATTATAGTACATGATTTACTTGTGAGCCACCTCATAGCTCTTGTTAGAAAGAACAAATGCAAGAGATTTAGCTTGATTACATGAGCTGCTGAGGCTGAGTAGGGTTAAGAATATCTCAAATTTTCCCTTACAATGCTTTACCCATTACTTTGATTCATGTGGAGTGTTCAGGCTGTTCTTTTCCATGCAGTGTGTAGGCTCGAGCATGGGATTTCCATTCTTTTCTTTACACTTCAGTGGAAACCACACAGTCATTTCTGATGGTGGGCCTAGGGAGAAATATTTCGTATTTGTAATTTGTTTATATTATATATACTATTATTTTACTGAGAACATCTAGCAGTATTCATCTCTAAGGGTTAAAAAAACTAAGCAGTGAAGGTTATTTTAAAAAATAAATCATGATACTTTTTTCTTTGTGATAGAAAGACAACAACAGCTAGAAATAGCCTTACTTGCTTTAGATTTTCAAATCTTCAGAATGTATTTGGATGACCTTTCAGGTCACCCAGTACACCCACCTCCATCACAGCTGGGAAACCCACAGGCAAAGAGCACAACATCTTCTCTCTAGTGTTCCCTGATGGGAATAGGAGCTGGCTACCCATGAGTCTGTCTTCCCCAAGACACCTTCCCTGCAAATCTCAGGGCTTTAATTCTGGTGATGACTGAGGTCCACATGGTAGAAGTTTTAAGAGGGTTCTCCTCCTACACCTATTTGAAGTAAGAAACAACATAGAAATTTTGTTTAAGAGGGTGTCTCTTCTTGGAGAAGAGGAGACTGAGGGGTGACCTCATTAATGTTTATAAATTTGTAAAGGGCAGTGTCAGGAGGAAGGAGCCAGGCTCTGCTCTGTGATGTCCAATGCCAGGACAAGGGGCAATGGGTGCAAGCTGGAGCACAGGAGGTTCCATGCAAACATGAGGAAAAACTTTTTTACTGTGAGGGTTACAGAGCCCTGGCCCAGGCTGCCCAGAGAGGTTGTGGAGTCTCCTTCTCTGCAGACATTCAAAACCCGCCTGGCCGTGTTCCTGTGTGACCTGGTCTGGTGATCCTGCTCTGGCAGGGGTTGGACTGGATGAGCTTTCGAGGTCCCTTCCAACTCCTGAGATTCTGTGATTCTGTGATGTCTCAGAAGTTACAAAGGGTCAAGCTGAAGATTGCCTATTCAGCCTTCTTATGTGTGCCAGTTACAGCATATGATTTAATTTGATAAGCTTTTTCACAGAATTACTTGTTAACTTTATGATGAAATGACAGACACAGGAAACAGTACAGTTGAAAATAGGTTTCCACTGCATTTTCTTGGAAGCAAGCTCTAACCATCTAGTCATGCTGTTGCCCTCAGGTCTGTGCTGATCACACTGTTTGTTAGTCAGCCAGGATGTATGCTGGGGCCCGTGTTACTGCCACGCAGCTGCCTGGAGAGCAGGGTGTGCTGATTTTTCTTTTCTTTTGTAGAAATTGAAGGATGTCACAATAACAATGGAGGCTGCAGCCATACCTGTATTGAAGTGGAAGATACATACCAGTGTGAATGTCCGAGAGGACTTGTTCTGTCAGAAGATAACCACACTTGCCAAGGTAGGTCACTAAAATCTTCCCGACAATTTCTTTTCCCTGGATGTGGAGAGTATGTCTGAAGCAACTTTTCCTCTTGTTTTTGTTGTGTTGTCTTAGTCTGTCCTTTCCAGTTTGGTTAATGGAGCTTTGCTGTTAATGACAGATCATTCAAAGATAAAAGCCCAGAGACTTTGCTCTTTTTTACCAGGCAGGAGAACAGAGACACAGTACCCAGCTGGGTGCATCTTGCATCACAGGCAGTATTGGCAGTGTTCACTTACAATTAAGATTGCTTAACTTCTCCCATTATATTGCTCTGCTTCAGCTGTGTATGCCTTTGCCAAATCTATGCTATTAGAACTGAAATTTTCCATTTCCTCAAAACTTCAAACTGGGCTTTTAAAATTTCAGCTGAAGTGGTTCAGCCCTTTCCATGAATGGCGTTAGAGAGAGAGGCCGTTTTTGCCCAAGGGTCTCGGTGGCCATTCCAATAAGCATTCCCATGTCTTGAAGCAGGGCGTTAGTTCTGATACTAATATAGGGGATAGACAGGGGTTTCTGCTGTCTCTTGGAGAAGCGACCAAGATAGCATCTGAAAACTGACTGTTGCTTCTGCTGCATAAAGACAAAGGTAACTTTATCCTCAGAAGACCTTCCATCTAAACTTTACTTCATTCCTGTATGCAGGAAGTCCTTCTTGCAGACACGTGGAATAAACATGTTCCCTGTTTTGGACTGCAAGAGCTGAAGGAGATTTCCTTTGCAAATTCATCCAGGCTCCCAGGGGTCAGTTTAGCTCTGTAGCGGTGAGTGCAGGAAGCAGAGGATTAGGGAGAAGTTCCTGAAAGCATTGAGAGGAGCAGTAGCTCCTCGTGAAATGACTTCTTCCAATTCAGGTCTTGCACCCAGGATTCTTCTGGGTCTCATAATCCCACAGCCAGCTGAGCCCCTGAGGTGCTGAAAGCATCATGCAGCCTGTGTCTTACAGAGAAGATGTCTACTGTGATCCTCTGCTGAAGGGACATTCAGTCAAAACTACATGTGGAGCCGAGTTATATTTCCAGACCATAGCCAGGGCAGGATCTAAAATGCAATGAAAGGGAGCTTGTCATGGGCTAATTTTCTTGGGCTTTAGATGATGCCAGTGTGCTGATGTTACCTGGTGTGCTCAGAATCTCCTGTAGTCGGATGTGTTACGAAGTGCCCAGACATCAGTCAGAGGAACAGACCGAGACTTCATGGTGGCCAGCAGGGCAGGTATGCCTCAGAGAGAAAGTGGGAATGGTTCTACTTCATGAAATTTCTGCCTTTTAAATTTTTAGAAATGCAGGGCACTGTTCTCAGAGGTGAGCACTGCACACCTCTTGGGATTCAGTCGTGCTTACTGCTCCAGCAGAGCCAGGTGGGGTGGAGGAGATGGGGAGTTCCAAGAGCTGTGATTATACTCAGTGATTGAAGGTCTGATTGATGGCTACAGGCCAGAGAAGAGAAATGTTCTTCAATCCTGGCTCCCTGAGGCAACCCCAGCAGGGTTAGAAGGCCGTGCATTTCCCAGATGGTGTTCCTCCTTCTGAGGCTGCTAATGAGAGCAGCAGCACAGCCAGGTGCCAGGCTGGGGCCTGGGATACGACACCTCATAAAGTGAGATTGCTTGTTCTTTTGCATTTCTTGAATTTATGTGGTTTATGTGGTCTGCAAAATTGCAGACTCAGTGGTCTGCAGTTTTGAGCAGATATGACAGAATATATCTGGAACTGTACCACACAATTTTTTATGGCATCTAATCAGATTTATAGTGGTACAACTAACAGTGCAGGACAGGCACAGTTGCCTGAAGCAATTGGATCTGCAGCCTATCAAGCCTCCCCTGCGCTGTCTTTACATTCAGAACAAACATTAATAATCTTCCACAGAAATCCCAGCCTTGGCTGCAGTTTTCCCACAAAGATATCAGCCAACAAAATACTTGGAATTTTGCAGACCGTTCTAGTACCCCACCTCTTTCTTAAGTGTGATGGTGAAATGCTTGTCTCTCCTCTCCCATGCCCAAGCCTTGCGTGCAGCTGAGCAGCATACGGTGGTGTAGTTTATTTGTGTTTGGAGCAGTGATTCAGGGCTCCCCAGCACCAGAGAACCTGTTCTCCTGAGTCTGTGTAAAAAGATAACCCCTGCTCCAAGCAGCTGTTCTTTGAAAGGCCAAGGTGGGAGCTGCAGAGTGGACAAGGAACATGGTGCCAACAGTAGCAGACAGCAAAATGAGTGCTGGACTTGCCACAGAAGGTTCCTACCAAGGTCAGGGTACTTGCAGGCATTGGTGCAAAGCACAGTTTAAGGTGGTTAAGGGGAGGCTTCCCCAGCACCTACAAATGCTCTGCTGCGTAAGAAGGTGAAGAACTGCAATGTTTGGCCAAGACTGGGTGAGGCTCTTGGGAGCCTCGCAGGCTGGGGTAAGCCCAGGACAGGGATGCAAGAGGTGGATGCTGACAGCAAGTCAGGAGAGTGCAGCTCTCTGAACAGATGCAAGAAGTTGTGAATAAAAGAGGATTCTTTGGCACCCAGGATAATTAATTTCTGCTGGGCATCTCAGTCTTGGCAGTCAGGACCTGATCACTTGTCCTGGAATAACATGTCTGTGTACAGTCACGGCTGCCTTGCCAGCTCCTTTTCAACTCCCCCATATCACAGAATCACAGAACGTTAGGGGTTG